TTCAATTACACTTGTCATAGCTTTTGTGTGTGTTCTTTAGTGGTTAGCAACTTGATAATAATAAGTTTTAATGACCCATATAAATTTTGTATATTTCAGTTGAGTCCCAGAGATAGCGTTTCTTCCTGTTGTTAAAATCGCACTGCAATATCCATAAAGTGGGTACTGCATTTAAAATGTGTGTGTATGTGTGTGTCTGTGTAAAAATGGAGACTTTTTTTTTTCACTTCCCTCTTAGAAGGAGGAAGAGATAAATCATGAGAACAGAACTCATATTAGGAATTTAGTCCAAAAAAAGAAGCTTCCAGGGAATGCTGTGAAGTCCATGTAGGTAAAAGTTAAGACACCTCTATTTCATCATGAATGATTAGTCAATTCAGAATGAAAGTATTGAAGAATTACTGAAGAATGATGGATTATCCATAATTCTTTTTTTCTACTGTGCTTTATTTTATTGATATCCAAACTTGTTTCATAAAAGATGTCATATTTCCTGTATTACACATGTTTAAAGATTGGAAAATATTTCCAGTACATTTAAAAATGTATAAGAAATATTTATTTATATATATAAATATATTTTAGTATGTATTTAGAATATATAAAAGCTGAAACAAAACTTTTATTGGTGGACATCTGAGTACCTGGAAAATATAATTAAACAAGTTCTGCGTTTTCTCAAGCATTACGGCAAGATCGAACTGGCTGTTTGCTTGGCTGTGTCTGTTCCCTTCTGGTTTCTTTCTGGTTTGCTTGTTGATTGCTTTTTTTCTTTTTTAAGATAGTTAACTCTGAGTCCTTCAGCTAGTGAATAAAATCCTCTACGTTTTGACATTCTACAGTTTGCTCCCTGAGCATTTAAAATGAATTTAAATGCATCTGCTTGTTCAAAGCTAAGGTATCTAGCACTCCCTAGAAAGATACGTCTTATTTGCTAGCCTATCTGACTCTGCTAGGGAACCACAGTTGACTGATGTTGCAACAAAATGACCGACTCGAGCGTTTACAGGGAATATTAATGGGCAGAAATGAAGTGTTGCTGCGGATCCATGCCACAGTCCTCGTCTTCCTCAGTGGGTCAAAGCGCTTGACCGAATCCCAGACTCCGGAGGAAGAGTTCCCCACCTTTCGCCTACACTCCTCTGACTTTAGGGGAAAAAAAAAAAAAATCTGTCTCTGGGCCAAAGGTCAATGAGCTAACTTCACTGAAGGTCTGCAGGCTGCTTTAATGCCTGAAGGCAGGCAGCTGGGAGTAATGGGTCTGAGCCTGGCACCTCGCTGTGTGATCTAGGGCGTTTGTGAACTGACATTTCTGTGCCTTTTTCCTCGTCTCCAAGATGGTATCTGCCCCAGGGGGCAGTGGTAAGGATCCACAGAGCCCAGACATGCAATGCTTAGAACAGCACCTTGAGACGCGGGGGTGAGCTGTATAAGAGTGTTTGCGTGACTGTGGTGTGAGATGGTGATGACCCCCTCCTTGCCCAAAGGCTACAGCTTAGCAAATAAGAGTCTGCTCCGGAGGGAGTGATCTGTACCCACTGCGGGGGACGTCGTCAACTACGAGAACAAAGTTTTCTTTTATGTATTTTGAAAATGGGATCCTTCACAGGAGACAGTAAAGAAGAGAAAACGGACTTCTTCCAGCCTGTGGCATCAGGAAGGAGGGACTTTTAGAGCCACGGGGACTTTTAGCTGAGTAATAAAGTAATATTCCTCACGAACACCACCCTCCGACCTCCCCATGATCGTAAAACAGAACGTTCAAGGTCTCCTAGGTGTTTTTCAAAAATCACTTGAGAAAGGTTGCCCCTAATCATCAATTTCTAACCAGTGCTTACTGGGCATATTCTAAATAAGTGATACCCAAACAACTGTTTAACGGTTTGTCACGAAGCTCTGTACTTGTTTTTCTCCTGGTGTTAGCAGTAAACATCCATCGTGTGAATTACACCACGTGAGTTACACAAAAATAATAAGATAGTTTTTAAAAATGATTTTTCTCTAAATAACCAAAAAAGTGATCACTGTTTTAAAAAATGTGAAAAATAAAGACACAAACACAGAGGAAATTAAAAATTACAGGTGATTATTAATAACATCTTAGTGGATGAGAAAGGGTTTTTTAAAAAATCCCTCGTATGTGGGATTTTTTTTTTTTTTTTTTAGGTGTCATGATAAAATAAGACCAAAATAAATTTAGGGAGAAAAAGAGGAAGCTATTCTACACAAATGCCAGAATGGGAGACCACTTCCTTTTCCAATCGGTGCATCCTCACAACAAACGAGACCAGGCTCTTCAAGGTAGGGAGCAGAAACAAGAAAATTCCTTGGGAATGCTAGGAGCTGAAAAGCACAGGTTTAATGTAACAGCAGCAGGCAAGGGAGCTGACAGACTGTACAGAACGGAACATGCAGAGCCAAGTTACCAGGGGCAGGGTGTGTCAGAGGAAGGCCAGTGCTCTTTGCCAGAAGTCCTGGATTTAAGTTTGAGCTCTGCAATTAACTAACTTTGTGACCTTAGAAAGGTCAAAGTCTCTCTGAGGCAGTTTCCTAATCTGTGAAATGGGTCTATATACTTCCTCTTTCTCCCCTGCAGAGTCACATTAAGATAATGTATCTGAAACATTCTTTCAGTAGTACAATGCAAACAGACTGTTAAGAGGCACAATTCCAAGCTGTTCTGTATTGTTTGGATCAAAGCATTATTTCCTTGTCTACATTATTTACCTACATGGACTTCCAGTTGTTTGTAAAGATGAAATGAGTAGGCTCCCCAGGGCCTGCTCAGAAACTCAGATGGTTTAATTCTTTGCACATTTATCTAAAGTCATGTTTTTAAAAATAAGTATCTAGAAATATGCTTCCTCAGCTGTCCCGGGGTTAAAACCACCTCACTCACAGTTTATTCCAGACTGAACATTTGTTGACTGTTTTTGGACACCGTCTAATGGCCTAAGCTGAAGCGCTCTTGATAAATGGATCAAGAAGGCAGTATTTCCTCGCCAAACACACTCTCATCTGTACCCCATCTCTGGCCAAATTCTGTAGGGCTCCGGCCATAAATATGTAATGCCTCCTAGGAACACGGGCCTGCCTATCTGCGGGCCCACGCCCATCTGCTGTTCCACACGAAACTTGGAGGCAGGCCAGGCTATGGCCAAATAATGACTGTGCCAGAATGAGTTAATCACAGGCCCTCCAGAGCAGGGGAGGGGGCCAGAGCCCCTCCAGCCTGGCCCCGGGCAGCTTCGGAGGCCGTTCTGGTGGGGCAGTAACCCTTGGGGGCAGCAGGAGCCTTTGTGAAATTACTGCAGTGTTGTGCTAATTTGGTGCCGGCTCCTTGGATGTAGGCCAGGGTTACTGGTTGGCTTTTCTGAGTCTGCTTTTGGCAAGGTAGGAAAGGAGAGAAAAAAATGCTGTAAGCAAGTTTCGAAATCTTAGATCATTTCATGAATGACTCAGTGTTTCCTTTTGGAAAAGTGCAATAATTGACATTCATTAATAACTTAGCTAAAACGAAAAAAAAAAAAAGGGTTCTAAATATCCAGGAGCCCTTTGTGCTATCTGAACACAACCATCCTCCAATCTTCATTTTTATAGCTTCCAGAGGAATTTCATTCACTTGATAACGTGTACTTGTTGAAAAATAAACTGTCACATACTTCCTCCTTCAGGCTTCCTGTTCTTTCTGAGAAAAGCATTGAGGTTGTCTTTTTCTTTCTTTCCTTTTTTTTTTCCATTGAAAAATGCAAAATATGAAGTATCAATTAACACGTTGTACAATTTAAATTTACATTATATCATTTGTCAGTTATACCTCAATGGACTGGGAAAAAAATTTCAAAATATAAAGCTATTACCCTTCTTTATAAGAGTAATTCTATTCAGACAAGAAGAGAATAGCAAGTTCTTTATCTCTTCACAGAATGAGAAAGTCATACGATATATTTCCTTAGAGTATAAAATAAAGAACAAAATATGTTTCAGATATTATGTTTAATTCATTTGGGCACATTTCAGTTTTAGAATAAAAAAACCCAAAACAACAGAAACCTCTCTTTCTGTCTCAACTCAGAAAAAATCCTGAAGTTTTAACACAGAAGACACTCATTTTTCTGGCATTACTACTGTAGAATCCAGCTTCAGAGTTATAAACCCAGAAGATGTCTCCAATGACTCATTACTGGAATAAATGTTTCTAATGTTAAAGGTATGCAAATAGAGCTTAATCGGCGAAGGAAGACTCTGCAATTCAATAAATAAGGCTGAGAATGTTACTGTGGTTACCGTGGACTCTCTTTGCATACAGGCTTATCTTGTTTTTAAAGCAGTAAGAAAAAAAAAAAAGAGGGAGAGGAAAAATCCTAACTTTCACCACATGTTCTCAAAATGTAATCTTATAATAAGGCACCACAACCCAGGCCCCATTAACAAGCAAAAAAAAAAAAAAAAAAGGAAAAAATACTTAATGTAGAAGAATCCTACAGATTAGAAACATTTTCTAGAATGTAAAAGGCACTAGCCTCAGGACACCTTACTGAGAAAACTCCACAATCAAATTTTTTTGTCACTCATGTCTGGTGGGTTAGACGGGCTGATTCTATGCCTACTCAGGAGCCCTGCGCAGCCTGTGGACTCATCATTGCCTGGGCCCCTGGCTAGTTCCCCAGGCCAGAGAGAGGCTCCATTCCAGCCGAAGATCCAACAGGGCCCCATGGCAGAGTCTCAGGCTGTATAGCAAACCACAAATCTCACCACGCTCAATGCTGTGCATTCTAGCCAGAATCACTCGTGCTCATTCTGCAAGAAAAGCTCAACCTGTCCATCTTTGTCCATCTGTGCCAGCACATGTGAGCTGCTTCGTGCTTCGGAGGAAACGCGCTCACATGCAATTCCTCTTCCATGTGCCGGTGGAAATACTGCAAGGAAACAGACTGGGCAAAGTTCATACTGACTCAGGAAGAGAATGGATTTCAAGCTGCAGAACGTGGCTAAGTGACTCACACCCACGGTGGAGCAGGGCGGGCCAGCAAGAGCGCATCACAGGTAGATGCCTGGATGGCGTGCGGCGCCCACGGCAGACAAGCATCCCGACGGCGCGCACCGCCCGGGTCCCGCACATCTTCACCTCCAGGGGCGGGTTTGCCGCCTTCGGCGACGGCGTGCTGGAGAGACACGAGAAAAATGCCCAGAGTAGAAACAAACACAAATGCTGTGAAGATTCACTTCATAATCGCCTTTAGGTATTTCTGTTTTATACAGTTAGACAATCCGGCTTTAGGGGCGTTGTCGAGGCTGTTCTGACGGTTTACTCGTGGACCAGATGAAGCAGATGTCAGTAGTTTTAGCTGCTGTTCCCCCCCCCCCCCAACACACACACACCCCCAAAGTGTGATTCAGAAGTGGAAAGCGAGAAACAGGAGCAGTGGTAAGAATCTTAGGTCCTGAGACGCAGAGGTGGTGTGCCTGTTTGCAGAGCCTGGTGCCTGCAGATTGTAACGCAGACATATATATTCCTGGACTTTAAAAACCCACAGTTTGCATTTTGTCCCAGTCTAATCTGCCTCTGATGTCAAATTCAGGAAGCGCATGGCTGGACAGAGAAAAAACCTGTCCCCCCCGCCCCCTCCACCTTTATCATGTCCCCTCCCTGGAGGTCACCACTCTAACCAGAGTGAAGATTTTTCCAAGGAGATAATTACCCTGACAATTTGGCTTTCCTTTACAATGTAAATACCTCTTTTGTGGTATTTATTGCTGGATAATTTGCTCTGAAATATCTTAACATACGAAGGGAAATAAAAGAGTTTCCACGGTACGATAGGCTTTACCTATTAGGGTTTTAATTCAACTATCAGTGAAGCCTTTTTTCCATTTCCCTTAATATTCTGCCCCATTCTATAGGCCAAAAGGAGTTGGAGGTGGGGCGTGGGGAGGGAGGTGTTCTGTGCAGCATTTGCATTTTATAAATCTTTATAAGAGATAGAAAACAAGGCATGATAAGAAGTTGACATTTTGGACATATGAGAAAAGTCATCATTGTAAAGGATCGGGTAAGAAAAGCAGAAGAAAACCAAGTACTACACCGTTTTTTAGAAGCTGCCAGGAAACCCACCAATTTAGGAACCATGGTTGTTTCTGAGGGTCATGTGTTGGGTTTATGGGTGTTTTCTTCCGTTTTCAAATTTTCTGTCATGAACAGTAAGCCTTTCTAATCATAAACATTCAAAAGTATCTTTTATGCATTCTATATTGTGTCTAGAATGTATCCTCTAATATTTTCTCAGTGATATTGTAGAATTTGGGAACATGTATATTTAAAGTATGGCAGGCGCATAGACTTAGTATTCTTCTAGCTTCTTGGGGGTTATCCTGAATAATTCTGATTCATCTCTGGGTTCTGCTGCCTCCTATTTACCTTTGTTCGACATTAAGTTACACAGACTCTCACCAGATAGATAGCATTTCAGCAGCTATCCCTGCAGTTTGAAAGTTGGTATTTTTAACACTATTCAAGATAGTCTGTATCAGATCAATAAATAGAAATTAAATGTGAATACTGAAGATCTGGTCAGCTTTTCTTAAAGGGTTGGCTTTTACACCTGAGAATGGATTACAGACACCCCATCTAATGTTCTAGATGCAGGTATAGCATCTTGGCTTGATCAGCTTAATGTTTCATTTATATTGTAATGTTATTTTTCAGTCGTATGCCTGTGTGTGTTTAAAGTAAAAAGGACAAAAATAAGTTTTTTTTTGGGGGGGGATAATTTTAATTGGATTCAAATGTTCCAATAAACTCAAACCCATGTACTTTTGCTCAAGAATTTTTTGCCAGATTATTACATACTTGCTTGCCACATCTCTTTAGTTTTCTCTTATTTTCTTCATCTTAGGAACCATGGAGGATATTGTGGAGGCTGGGTCAGAAAATGTAAATATTTTCAAAAAACTTAAACACTCAATGTCATAGGAAAGAGTTAAAAAAAAAAAATCAGATCTCTACTCCTAAAAACAACCAACAGTTTAAGAATCAGAAAATAGCAAAACCAATCTTAAGTCCCCAAGGAAAAAAGAATATGTATTTTTTCACATTCATGTTTAATTTTGTTATCTTCAACTGTAGTTCCCACTGCAAACATCCCAATAAACGGCCAGTCTGTATGACTAAGGGAATACTCTGACTTATGATCCGCTGATAGGCAAAGAAATATCAGCCAGGCCAGGAGGCCTCCTAAGTCGCTATCTGACAGTTGGCGGCACCAGCAGACGGCCCAGCTGGTTGATGAGGAGCAGTGGTTGTATGGAAACCATTGCAAGTTTGCAAAGATTATGTCAGCCCGTTGAGCATCTTCAGGTAGAGACCATTCACACTGGATTCTCCGTGACCAGAACACAACAGCATATGGGTGAGTGTGTGGGTGCCCTGTGTTCCGAGTAGCAGCTTTGAACCGTTACCGGTTTCCAGGGTTCCTCTGATGAATTTACAGTGTTGAGCTGCATACTTGAAAACTCAGAAAGACATAAAATCTGTAATAGCTTGGGAAAGTTCAGAGATGGGCAGAAATTGCTTTTTAACACAGAGAGATGGAAGGAGACAAAACTTGAGTGTGGATTCGGACATCATCTTTTTTCAGAAGCAAAACTCTCAGATAAAAATAACATCCCTAAAATGTTTCTAAGGACAGTTTTATATCAATCTTGATTTCCATAAAGGTGAGACAGCTTCTTGGGTTTAGGATTCTCTTACAAAGTACTGTGTTTATAAACATTGTTTTCAAGACAAAAAAAGTCGATGACACCTTGATGTCTCCAAAAGACAATATGGGACTTCTCTGGCAGTCCAGTGGTTAAGATTCCATAATTCCACTGCAGGGGGCAGGGGTTCCATCCCTGGTCAGGAAACTAAGATCAAAATCATGCAAGCCATGTGGCATGGCCAAAAAAAAAAAGATAATATGATAATCTTGGGGCATTTTTCGTGCACCCCTCCAGTGTCTTGTGATATAAGGAGGAGAACTCGGTCAGGGATGGAGTCAAACTGCAGCTCTTACATAATCCACGAACCAAAAGCCCAAAGTCTTATTTAACTGAAGCCTGTGCCCTTGACTCTCAACTCAACTTGACATCATGGTTATTTGAAGCACATGAATTTTAAAAAATAGTTTTCATCATGATTATCATATAGTGTTAGAAGTAATTCATCAGTCTCCGAGGCCAGAAACAAAGGCTTTCATTCTTAAGAGACCCAATCAAAGGTTAGTTTACCCACTACATAGCCTCAGACATTCTCAAATGCTGGAAGATGCCTTCAGAAGAAATAAAATTCCTAAGCAGGCCTTCTTTGCTCTCTTTTAGACCCCTGAGAAGGCAGGTTTGCCATGAAGGCAATCACCTGCTTTATTTTGGAGTCTAAGACTGTGAACTTTTCTTTTGTGCCTTCTTATTTACAGCTAAGGTACTTAAATTAAAAATGAAATATAAATCTATCAAAGTGGTGGGCAAGAAGTCTTTGAAAAGATACAGTTTAGGAAAGAGAGGTCTGAAAGAGAAAAATGGAATACGAGGTCATAGAGCAGATTTAGGATCCTTCAAAGTGCAAAATAATGTTTTCCAAATAGTTTTTTAAGTGTCTGTCAAATCTGTCAATTACCTGCTTAAGGTTACTTCCAACTGCTTCAAAATCTCTGAAGTTCAAAGTAAATAATTGTTACAACAGTTAAATCCAGTATTTGCAAGGAGACTATTTCCTGAGATTTTGACATTTCAATTAAGACTGCAATAGTCTTACCCCTGCCTTTTCAAAGATGATCAAATATATCACATTGGAAAACCGTGTAATCTTGTTTGGAACCCTCTCTCATGCTTTTGCCCTCAGTAAGAGATCTGCTAGAGAACTTTAATACAAATCAGAAACTTAATTTAAGTAAATGGTGCTAAAAGAGAAAGTTTTGGCTCAGTACTTTGAATCTTTGGACTATTAATAACCAAGAGAACTGTATTTTCAAGCTGGTGTGTTGTTCATCTATTCTGCTCCCAACTTTGATCTCAGTATTTACAGTGTCTGTGAAGTCTGGAAACAAAGAAGGAAATGCGTAATGCCATCTTGAATCCTCTTCAATCTGCAAAAAAATAAGAATACAACAGAATAAGACTGACAGAATGGTACAATCAAATAACAACAAAAAAAAAGTAAGTAAATTAAATAAAGAAAAAGAAATAACACTATCTATGTTTCCAGACTTTATGGAAATCCTCCCTGTGAAATGGTGGGGTGTGTTGAGCCGTGAGTAGCTTGGTGAAATGGGAAACTCCACTGCAGGAAGTGGTGCTTTTCTGATGCTGCTAATTAAGGAATGTGGAACCCTTCCTTCTGAGTCAGCTTGGCGGTATGTGGAACTCTGGGCTGCTTGCTGCTTACATGACTATTGCATGAAACTTTGGAAATAAAACCAGAATATCTTGCCACTTAACACTTAAGAGGCAGGAGGTGGTATGTGTGTGTGTTTAAATGGTTCCTAATCTTAAAAATGGTTCGCTGCAGCTGGCCTTGTTATCAGCTGATCATATTTACAGCATCGTCTCAGACAGTGGTGCAACCCACAGAGAGGAATTGGACCATTTATGGGGTCGCATTTTAAGGTGCCTAGGCTTATCAGAGTATTCTGACGATTCACTACTACTGCACAGCAATAAAAACATCTCTGTGGGACTGTCAATTCTTTGTAATTTCTTTTTGGTAAAATAAATGTTAATTTGTTTTTTTTTCAAAGGTAATACAGGCATATAAGAGAAAAATAAGTTGAGAAAAAGAGGAGGTAGAAAAAGGTCATGCACAGCCCGTGATTAAAAAATAACCATTAAAAAATGTTTACTAGAAAAATTTTCCAAAAAATTTTTTGACGTGGGCCATTTCAAAAGTCTTTGATTTATTGCAGTAGTGCTTCTCTTTTATGTGTTGTTTTTTTGGCCACAAAGCACGTGGGATCTTACTTCCCCGACCAGGGATTGAACGCGTACCCCCCGCATTTGAAGGCAAAGTCTCAACCACTGGATTGCCAGGGAAATACCAAGAAATTTTGAAATGAACATAACAATAGAGAGAATCAGTTCTGCAGTTTCAAGATGTGAACCACATTTGCTTCAATTCTCTCCTATTTGAAAT